CTTTCCCTTTAAATTGTAATGGACCTCTGCTGCCCCCGCCCCTCTCTTCCGAGCCGCTCTCAGAGAGACTGTTTACTTTAGACGCATTCATCTGAAACTTGCTAGTTACCACATTATTAGGAAAGGTGATTTGCAAAGATTCATTACAAAACATTATACTCACTTCTTCTGTAGATGAGGCTGGATCACGAATGATTCGCGCGAACATAAGACGCATTTATGTAGATCGGGGGCGCATTCCCTTCAGAAACAATGTAATCCACTGCGTCTTCAGCGGCTCAGATGTCGGGAGTAAATGATGACTGCTGTTCATTATTACATCCAACAACAGAACACCTCAATCGCTCAGGAGTCATTCTTGTCTACATCTGCTCCGGCGGTGAAACAATGGCGGACTGATGACAGTCACTCAGGGCGGAGCTAAGGTAAGACACCAGTCCAGTCTGTGCTGAAACACTGCTGTCAATCAAACTATCGTGGGAGGGGCCTGTCTGTGTGACATCACAAAGAGAAATCGGCTGAGATCTGAGATCGGCTCGATTTGAGGAAGGGGAAAACATTTAACCAGATTTTTAAAAAAACACAGGGTGGATTTTTATCATTATAGGGTGGTTGTGTACACACACTGCCAACACACATTTCAGTTCAAACTACTTGTAAAAGTGCATGTAGCATCCTATGACCCCTTTAACGCACCCCTATTGTGCTCGCATGCGCTCTTTAGGAGTAGATCAGGCACAGAGGCATACTCTGTCATGTTAGGGTTGGCCACTACACCTGCATCGCTCATTAGAAACGCTCAGGCTCATGGGACTCAAGCAGCATCATAAATGCAGGCTTTGTAAGCTGCTTTGTCTAAGAGTTGCTGCCAATTTCCCCTAATGAGAGTCCATCCTGCTGCGATCCACAGAGCAGAGCAATGTGTCACAGTCCTGTAGCCTCATGCAAATGCTTTAGTCAAATGATCGGCTCACTTACAGCCGGGGGGTTGGGAGACATTGACATTCAAAACGCATCACCCACTTCACATTCCTGTTCCACTCTGCAAACAAAATATGGCTGTATTTAAACAACAGTTCCTGTAGTGCAGAGATGTGCTGGCTCTCCTCAACACGACACGCAGGGGAGCAGCGGTGATGACCGGAGACGGACGGTGTGACTGAAAACGTTTGGATCCTGGCTGCAGTCGCTTCCTTCCTTTTCTGCATTCCTCTCTTTCTGAACTGTGAAGAAGAACAGCATGCTGTGTTTCCTCTGCTCTACACATTCAAAGACCCATCAAGCATTTTACTGAACTTTTGCTCTCTTTCATGCTCTACATTTTTCCTACATGTGTACTGCAATGTGGAAAAAAACAGCGAGCTTTCAGATCAACACCACTATCACAACAGCGACCACATCATACTTTAGCAGATACTTTTATCCAAATCCAAACTGGAATTCAGAGACCTTTAGCCACTGCTGTTTACATAACAGCACACATGTGTGTGTGTGTGTGTGTGTGTGTGTGTACCTACTTAACCATATTTTGGGGACAAATTTGTACCCAAAAGTGAGCTAAACCTGACAAAATCTCCAAAAACCTCCCTTTGGGGACGTCCTCATTTGTAAAACTGGTATAAAAATAAAGTAAACAAAGTTTTTTTTAAATTGTAAAAATGCAGAAAGTTTCAGTTTGTACAGTATAAAAACCATTATGCCTATGGCATGTCCCCATTTAGATAGCTAAGTAAACATGTGTGTGTGTGTGTGTGTGTGTGTGTGTGTGAGAGAGAGAGAGAGAGCTTCATTAGAGCTACAAAATTGGCATTTAGTTTTAATTGCATGGAGCAACACTTTGGCAATATGAATGTTAAAATATTTGTCATGCCAATAAAGCACCTTAAAACTGAAACAAAGAGACAGACAGAGAGAGAAATCCTGACACGCTCAGTGGACCTGAACCAGCCTGCAGTGTCCAGCTAGTCAAAAACAGATGCTTCACGTCAAAACACAACCCTTCTGTGGACCTTTAATGGACCACAGTTTGCTTGTTAAAACGAGCAGTTAGCGAGTGCTGCATTGTGGGAATGGATGCAGAGCGGGTTAGCGGATGGATGTCAGAGCAGTACAGACTCCGGGAGCAGAAGCTGCGGTCAGTGCCGCATTCAATTCTGATCCCAGAGCAGCTGAGAGGAGCAGAAACCGGTTACTGAGGAATCTAAAGAGCGCTGACTCGCCACAGGCCACAGAAGTACACACACCACATATGTTCTATGCACACGCTCCAACCTACACTAATAACAAATTACATAAAATCCCAGAGCCGGATTCACGAAAATCTTCTTAAGAAATTAGGTAAGAAATTTCCCAAGATAAATTCCAAGAAGTCTGTAAGAATGCTACTAAGTGCAATTTTCAAAAAATTCTTAGTTCATAAATATGTTCTTAAGAAGAAAATGACAGTTTTTGGAGTTCTCTGTCTGATTGAATGAATGGCTGAAGACTCAGGGAAAACCATAAAAGGCCGGCTTTTTGCACTGCCTGCAGATTACCATAATAATCATAATAGACCTTAGATAGGGTAGCGCCATATCTAATTTTGACAGGAATGAAAACGAGGCTGTGAAGGATAGAAGTGCAATGCCTTCAGTGGATCGTGCTGTTGTTTGTTCAGCTGACGAAATGTAAGTTGCAAGTTATACAGTGTAAATACTGTAGTCTTCCATGTTAAATTCAATACGATGTCCAACCTGATTAAGGTCTGTAAACGTGCATACTATTATTCCCGCAACCACCTGTGTCCAGCACTCTGCCTCGCATGGTTTAATGCACAGCATATTTTGAATTGTGTATTTATGTGCTAAAATTAAAAACAAGCTCCCTATTTGACTCATTTTTGTAATGAGTCAAATAGGTTGAATAAATGATTCAGTGATTCTCTCATTAACAGCGTCAAATGCTTGGTTCCTGAATGAATCAGTCGTTTTATGTTAAAAACAAAACATTAGGCCTATTTATGCATCTGTAACTGCAGGTTAAATGCATCCATGTCCCCTCTGAGATACATAAACTGTGTAAATACATCTAAATATCACTTCAGATGCAGATTCCAGAAATGTGTTCTTATGTTGGAATAAAAGACACTAAGTACCGGATGAAGTGCTTCTTATTCTTACCCAAAAATAAAAAATGGAAGAAAGAGTTAAAACTGAACACAATCTTGCTACTCAAGCCATATATGAACATTTTTTATATTATTTATTTGCTTCTTTTCCATTTTGCATTTACTTGTACTTTTACTTTCAATACTTAAGTATGTTTAAGATTTAAAAAAATACTTTTCGTACTTAAGTACAATAAATATCACATACTTTACGACTTTTACTCAAGTAATATTCTAAACGGTGACTTCAACTTCTACCAAAGTCTTCTGGTAAGATATCTGTACCTTTACTTGAGAATGGCTTTCAGGTACTTTATACGCCACTGGTTTCACAGCACAAAATTCATCAGTGCACATTATTTAAAAGAAATATCTGTCTGGAACAAACACAGGCAAGCAGAGTGATGCAAACAGTGAAAAGCTGCAGTGCTAAACAGAACAGTAAAGGCTGGAAAACACCACTCAACTCCTAAAATCTGAACATCATACAACTTGCCCACTTTGTAAAAGGCTACAGAGAAAAAGTGGGCATTATGCACTAAATGACCAAGTCACATATGTTTAAAATCGACTCAAAATATCAATAATATCTGATATCTGATGTCTAATATTGATGGACCAGATGGAATCTGAAGCTAAAAAAATCATCTGTGCTCATCATCATACGCAATACAATTTTATGTGAACTCCAACAGAGTAAAATGTGCAAGCTGAATCTGACTTTAGCAACTAGCGCTGACTTAAGTGTTCTGACAGTATATATTTACAGAATCATTTTTGTAATGCATAATTACATTGTCAGAAAATCAGCCCTTCCTCAAACCTCAATGCTTTCAAAAAAAAAAATGCCGTTGCTTGGTGTCAGAAGTGACAGGGTGGAGCTGTGTAAAAATCAGCGTAGAGTTGGAGTCGTCACACTGTTGGCATGCAGATTACACTTGCTTAATTGGATAGAGAAAAAAATCCATCTACCTGCTCTGTTCTGATTAAAGACGTTAAAACTAGAGAAGATTAGATTTTCTTTAAAAAAAAGAAGACATACTGTATATTTGTATGTAGTATAGAGACCTTTTATTTAATATTTTAATAAGACAGCAATAATTGAATTCTAACCCTACTATCATCACTTCTTTTTTCCATTTCTTTTCTTGTCTTTCTTTATTTTTCTGTTAAAACATCTTAAGCTATATGTCAAAATATTATTGTACATGATATTTGCTAAGGGCAAACTAATTTTGTTGGAATTTTCTGTGCCAATTTGGAAAACTCAATAAATTAATAAATGGCATTGGAGAGAAAATTTGTGCATTTGCGCAGTGGAAGGAAATCGCAAGAACGCTGCCGATCCACAACCTGCTGTTCTCAAAGACAAATACTGACGTTCTTGTGTCACATTTGCCAGAAGACAGCAACCCTCCAGTTCTCCTTCCTAGCCAACTTACAAAGCATGTCTAATTCTATCCTAATTCTGATTCTAATTCTATAGTCAGAAATAATCTGCAATCATATTTTTTACTGTAAACCACTAAAAAGGCCATAACATTTTGAGGAAAAACGGATGTGCAGTAATTAAAAGCAAACCACTGTGTAAGAGACACTCTCTATTATTATTAGAAAGTAGATTTGCCTTCGTCTATAATGCTGGACAGAGTTTGCTTCAGAACCGTCACTGAGGATTCAGAGAAAGAGAGAGATTCCCTACACTTGAACAAATGAGATTAATTACCTTATTCTGATCGGTCCAGTACAAGAAGTAGCCCTGCGGATCCACACGCAACGTCACCGGCGTAACTGTGGTGCAGTCCTACAAAAACACAAGAGAACAACAATCACATCAGTGTCATCACAGCACTTTAAAGGGACAGTTCACCCAAAAATGAACATTCTGTCATTAATTCCTCACTCTCATGTTGTTCCAAACCTGCAAGACCTTAGTTCATCTTCAGAACACTAATTTTATATTTCTGATGAAATCCGAGAGCTCTCTGACCCTGCATAGACAGCAAGGGTACTACCACTATCAAGGCCCAGAAACGTAAGAACATAGACAAAACAGTCCATGTGGCATCAGTGATTCAACCGTAATGTTATGAAGCCACAAGAATACTTTTTGTGCACAAAGAAAACAAAAGGATGAGTAATTAATGATAGAATCTTCATTTTTGGGTGAACTACCTAGGATATAAGAAACAATATAAACATGATAAACAAAGGCCGACTCGAGTGTATGTCCGTTTTGTACTGTAATTGGCACAGTCTGCTTTATTTTTTCCATTTGCTCTGCTTGAGCTTGAATGCCTTTGTTCTTTATATCTATAATAAAGAACAAAGGCATTCAAAAATATCCATATTTAAAACGTTATAAACACTTTTCTCTCCGTTTGCACATATGACAGTTAGAGGAATTGAGAGAAAAGTGTTTATAATGTTTTAAATATGGATATTTTTCTTACAAAAATGCATGGATTTGATACAGGAGGCCTTTATTCACCCCCAGAGCCACGTGAGGCATGTTTTATTATGAATGGATGCACTTTATTTGACTGCTTTTGGACTGTTGAACAAAAACACCCACCTACTGCCATTATAAAGACTGGAAGAACCAGGATCATTTTTAATATAACTCCGATTTGATTCGTCTGAAAGAAGAAAGTCATATGCACCTAGAATGCCTTGAGGGTGAGTAAAACATGGGCTAATCTTTATTTTTGGGTGAACTAACCCTTTAAACTTATTCAAACTTATTATAAAAAATATTTTAAAATAATGTCTCTCTCCTTAAACATCATTTAAATAAACAGATATTAAAATATGTTTTTTTATGAGACCAAATATTCAAATACAATATTTTAAAAAATGCCCACCCCCAGCGGAGGCGTCTGATTGAGCGCTGCAAATGGGTAAAATCAATCTCTTGGCTGGAGAAAATAGCTTTGGGTATTCTGAGGGATTTTTGTTACTGCAAAGACATTGAAAAAGCAAAGCTCCAGAGACATTCTGCCATTTTCTGCATGATGGCAACACGCATGCAGACTGTAAGACATATTTTGCTGAAAGCATGGAGGAGACGAGGCAGTTTAATAATGACCAGAAAGGTGTTTTACACGCAACAAGTAAGCTGGTGATGTTTTCTTTAGTATTCCCCCACAATACAATGAGAGAGAGACAGAGACACACACAATTTCAGCTGTTCATATTGGGCAGATTAAATTGTATATTGTATACAAAGGTTATTTTATTTGCAATTCAATAAAAATGATTTCTATATTAAATATGCTTAATAATATTATTTTTTTATATTTAATTTCTATAATTAAATATAATTTAGTGAATTAAATACTTCAGAACTGAAAACATGAGTAATCTTATTTGATTATTTTCTGTTTTTATTTTAATCTTGATGGACTCACAGCAAAAGATCAGAAGATTCATATCAAATACAAGCATCAGGTTAACGCTTGAGAAACATTACAAAACTAAAGCCTCACATCAGCCAAACTATTATTAGAAAACAGAGTTCAGCCTCTGCTTCTGATTGGATGAGAAACACATGGATCTGATAAACACACACCTGTGATGCACATCACATCAACTCTAAATTAAGACATGAGTAAAGTTGTAAAAGTGACTGTAAAAACCAAACGCCATCAAGCTGAACTGTTCTGAGCAATGTTTCCATTAGTTTGAATGACTCTCACATGTCAATACGTCCTGGCCAATATATCCACCATGGTATAATCAGCATAGCAAAACATCTGTCGCACATACCGACCAGCCCTACTAAGGTGACATGTGACATTTTGATGATCACTAATTCTCTAGAAGTTGGTTTCTGATAGACTGGCATTGCAAGTAGATGAGGTGTACTGAATAAGTGACTAATACTGAAAAAAAGCCTTACTTTGTATTATTTGGCAGCGTGTTCCCTGTAGGTTGTAATGAATAAAAACGAGCAACAAGCACAACATTAAGTGAAAGGATTGAATGATTCTGAAAAACTTTTCAAAATTTGGTTTTGAAATTATTTGGTTTTCAAAAGCCTCTTCCGGCAAACCACTTTGCTTTTCAGTTTGACCAGTGAGAACACAAAGACTTTAAAAGCTGAAAGTGAAACAGGATGAAGAAAGTTGAAAGAATAAAAGTGACAAAAGAGGAAAGAGTGCACAGGACAAAAACATGTGAACTCAGGAAATCAGCCTGGAATCAGACCCAAACCAACCACAAACTGGGAAAAACAGGAGCATCTCATGCATCCCTGCTCCTCATGCACATGTTAGGAAGCACGGCCATCCCTGGAGGAGATCAGCGAAAGCGATCCACAGCTTCAAGACTGCATAATTTATCACCTCGGAGAGCTGTTTTGGAGCATTTCTGATATTACGTTTCTTTTTGTTTATAAAAATAAGAACAAAAAAACACTGGAAATCTACATGAAAAACATGGGAATTTAATGTCTCTGGTCACTAATATTAGCTTCTATTCTGTACCCACTTGAACACTCGCAAACATGATATTTAGATTTATTGATTTAGCAGACGCTTTTATCCAAACTGACTTTCAAATGAGAACTATAACAAAGCAATTCATCTTGAGGAGGCTATAACATGAGAAGTGCTAAAAATACATTATGTTTTGGTTTCTCTTGACTAAATAAATTTACAAACCAACTGATTTTTAAAATCGACTACTTGGCGGATTGTTTAAACGACTAGTCAATTCCTCAGTTATTTGAAAGAAGCTCAGTATAACTAAGCTGTTTTTAGTTCATCTGACTCCAATAAGATTACAGCGCTAACCTCTGCAATTACATGATGCCTTTATATTAGGAAGAGGCTCATGATATGTCCTTGACCCCCAAAAGTTAAAAAACCCTACTATTTGTTGACCTCACTAACTATATGGTTATTGGGTGAAAAATCAACTAGGCAACCATCATGCCACACCTCTTCTCTTGACAAAGATTTAACTAGGCCAGTTTATGACAGAGTAAGATCAGAGCTCCAGCATCACAGAGATGAGGCATTACCATCAGCAATGATGATCATAAACAATTCCCTGATCCGCCTGCTGGATCTGCATTTCAGTAGTTCATGGGCTGGGCAAAACACAGTGGATGTTGAAGAACACTCCTGAAGCACAGCAGCACATAGCTAGAGATGTTCGGATAAACCTGATAACACTTGACTGGTAAAAATCCCACTTGTATCCTATACAAAGTCTCATCAGAAGCCGACGTGATACTGTCATCTCTCTATGCCTAACACAACAGTTTAACTGAGGCTTACTTACGTGCAATCAATTTGAAATACCAATAATGACCCAATCCATAATTTGTGTCAAACTCACGCACTGTGATCTGTGATCTCCAGGTAATGTAGTTATCACTGTTGTTTAGTTTTGTCTGTCTCTCCATGAAGCTCTGTTTTTGAAGCATTTTGTTTTCCTAATGCTAATCAAACCTCTTGGACTTGATGACTTTCAAGACAGCTTTGACCTTTTAAGGCAGAAGAGTCCATGAAAGAGGATAATATGAGGAAATATGGGAACAAGGAAATGTTACGTAAAAAAAAAATCATCACATTTCCAGGATCACCTGCCAGGTGCATATGCTGCCATTTGTTATGATTAAAATTATTAATAAAGGTAATTTGCCTAAAAATAATAACAATAACAATTTCAAACAAACATCACTAACAATCTATTAAAGAAATGGAAACAGCTATGCAAATATGTCCTGTCAACATGCTGAACAGGGTTTCATATTTGTTTGAAATACATATATTAAAATATGTATATATATATATATCCTACTCTGCATATAATAATGCAACACAATCTTAATCATGTAAACTTTGTCATTATTTACTCAGCATCATGTCGATCTAAAACAAGGATGCGTTTCCGCGATCTGTTTAAGCTTAAGATACTTTAGAGAAACGCTGGGATTTATTGGGTTCCCAGCAATCTTCTTATCTTGTGCTTAACAGAAGAAAGAAAAGTCACACGGGTTTGAACGACATGAGGGAAGTAAACGATAACAGATGCTTTGTTTTGGGGTAATCTAATATGTTTTCCAAAAAATAAAAAAATTAATGGGATGATGACATTTTAGTTTAAACAACTGAATCCACAAAAACATTCTAATTTAAGACACACAGAAAGCACTCCGAGAGAAAACAAGCATCTGTGTAACTGGACTTTTTGACAGAATCTGACAGTAACACCGGCTGCTCGCGCTCGTACCGCTTTACAAGAACACTCTGAAGAGGGGAAAGGACTGAATGCGGCACATGTTACTCACATCGTCCCATTTAATGAATTTGTCGCCGGTCCTCAAGCTCTCGGTCACCGACACGCGTTTGAGCTGGAGCGCGTGAACCCCCGGCTGCGCCCCCGCCATGCGTCCGCTGCTGCTGCTGCTGCTCCCGCAGATCTCACACATTCACTGCTGCTCCCGCAGATCTACGCATTCACTGCTGCTCCCGCAGATCTCACACATTCACTGCTGCTCCCGCAGATCTCACACATTCACTGCTGCTCCCGCAGATCTGATAGAGATCTCACACACATTCACTGCTGCTCCCGCAGATCTACGCATTCACTGCTGCTCCCGCAGATCTGATGGAGATCTCACACACACTCACTGCTGCTCCCGCAGATCTGATAGAGATCTCACACACTCACTGCTGCTTCTCTGTGAAAGAACTCGCTGCTCGCCCCCGAGATCAGATGCGCGGTCCTCGCGCTCCGGAGCGCGTCAGAGAGAAAACATGAAAGATGAGATTAATAGAGACTTACAGACGATCTCAGCTTTTGTTCTGTAGTACGACGCGATTAGAAAGAGTTTTAAGCAGGCCGTTTTAAGTCGTCTTTATTTTCAATAATTTACAGAATTTAGTATTTAGCCTACAATGTTATTAATGCATCTCCCTTACAGATACATATGTTAATTAACTGAGTAATTATAAACGGCATCAAGCCCAAAAAATATAGTAGCTATATCAACAATTTAAAAAAAATCACATCAATACTTCTCTCTGTGGTTCACAGAATAATAGTGAATTATTAATTAATTATAATGGAATCATACTATTAAGTGTCACTACTACATTTACATAAAATGGGAAGTTATTCTGCAAAAACAAGTGGGAGTGGAAATATTGTAACTTACGAAGACTGCACTGAAAAGGCAGCAGGCATTTTTTAAAACTAAATTAAAAGTACAAATTAAGAAATATAGCAATAACCATAACTCTAATACCAACATTTTAATTGGTCTTCAATTTAACTCAGACGCTTTGTGGTTATTATTGTTATCTTAGAGTACAAAACTTAACATTCTCAACTCAACAAATCTTAACTAATGGGTTGTCATTTAAAAGCTTTTCATCTGAGGTTGGAAGTGCAAATATTTATATTTGAGTTGCAACACTCACCTCAATGTTCAATGCTCTAATGCCATCTTGTGGTTCACTTATTCACTTACTGGAGGTATTTCCTACTGTTACAAAGTTTGGGTTCAGTAAATGTTTTGTTGTCTTCTCACCAATACTGCATTTATGTGATGAAAACTACACTAAAACCACAAATATTGTGAAATATTATTACTATTTAAAATAACTGTTTTAATATATTTTAAAATGTAACTTTCATATGCTAAACTGATTAGCTGCTCAAGAAACATTTCTTCTTATTATCTATGATTAAAATGGTTGTGCTACTTAATGAAGTGTGGAAACAGAAATCTTTCTTTCCATTCCTTGAGGAACAGCATTCATTTGAAAAAGGATTTTTTTGTAACACGGTTAAAAAAACCCTGCAACACATAAACACACATACAGTCACACACAGAAAGGACTTTTGCTTCAAGTGATAAAATATAACTTAATTCCCACCATATTTCTGATATTATCTATCAAACTAATCTGATTAATTTGATCATTCGCTTTTATTCTAAAACAGCGAGTGCAGTGCGCGTGCGACGCATTAGCATTCGTTAGCCGGTTAGCTTGTCATTCGTGTTTCCATTCGCATCTACTGCTGTTTTCTTTTTTCTCTCGCTCCGTTTCTTTTCTCTCTCGCTCTGTTTTTGCACGAGTTCATCAAACAACTGTGGTAAGTCAGAATCATTCATCAATCACAGTGAGTAATGGCTTCTTCTCCTGCTATTGTTGTTTGCACCGCTTGCCACATGTATAGTTTAGCTCTCTCTGTCAGCGACGAGGGATTCACATGTGATAAATGCAGGGAAATAGTTAGGCTGACAGAGAAGATTTCAGAATTAGAGACACCAGCCAGCATAGTCCAATGTTTACCGGGAGCCAGAGCACCTGACATCTTGGCAAATTTAAAAGTGCTGGCTAATGCTAAACGTAAATACAGTAAGATTGTTATTCATGCCGGTGCTAATGATGTTCGACTTCGCCAGTCGGAGATGACTAAAAATAACATTAAAGAGGTGTGTGAACTTGCAAGTATGATGTCAGACACCGTAATATGCTCTGGTCCCCTCCCTGCTTACTGTGGTGATGAGATGCACAGCAGACTGTCGTCACTCAATGGCTGGATGTCTAAAGTGGTGTCT